GGTTCCTTTTCCATTGATATACCCAATGATTTAAAAGGCACACCCAAGGCATGCCTAGTGCACAGGCGAGGCGCATAGCCTAGGTCCCAGGCGCAGCATTTTCAAAAGGTGTGCACTTGGTGCACGGTGCACCTTGTGCTTCAGCCCAGGCGTGTGCCGTTTGAAAATTTGTGCATATCTCTATCTTTTTGTGTTTAGTAGCTGGGTCGGGGGCTTCACCCCCAGAGCCCCAACCAAGCTCCTCAAGGCAAGCCCATTTGCTAATGTTGCTCATTCATTAATCCTAAAAAAAGATATTTTCAAAAGACACTTAAAAGTTATAAAACATCTTTAAGACCCTAATATGGACTTGTTTGGGTTGCCTTGAGGGACTTGGTACAAAGGTGGCTCGTAGAATCAGGAATGCATAATGTTTAACATCACATTAGCTATTTGAAGTAATGCAATTGGGAAAAAAATAAAGAGAATAAGAGTTTACATGCTTGAATATGTTTTATATGCTATGCTTGATTTTATTTTTAAATTTTCATTTTAAATATGTTTTACATGTTATGTTTATGTATTTTAATTTGAGATAAGAGGCTTTTTAAATCATTTATTTTAAAATTTAAGTTTATATTTTTAATTAATAATGTGTTTATTATTTTTACTATTTTGCATTTTTTGAATTTTTTAGAATTTTTGTGCCTTGCTTTAAAAAGGTGCACGCCTCAAGCGTAAAATGACCCTTGCGCTTTTAAAACATTGGATATACCTGGCCTTGCCTCTAGCAGTGATATCCAATCGCAATTCCTTAGACCATGCCAAATAGTTCAAGCCATCCAATAGAGTGATAGTCATGGGGAAATTCATGGTATCATGATTACTAATTTAGTACTTAATCCACTATGAATGGAAATAGTTCCAGATGTTCCAGACTCTTCAGAAGCCATAAGAAACAATTCTAGAAAATCTTGACGGGTATGTTTTCTATAGTTCCCACAAAGAACAGGTAAACAAATACCACTGCAGAGTTGGAACCAATCTGCCAAGCAATTCGATGCCAAAAAACACAAGGCACAAACAACTGGTTTGTGCATTTTTCTACCACAAACAGGTCATACAGACCTCACACAAGCTGGCTTAAGTGACACAGTTAACAGGAAACCACTGCAGTACCATTTTTCTACCACAAACCAGGTCACTCATGACCAACACGGGTACATAACCTGCTTCAATTTGGATCCCCAGATCCAAAAAGGAACTACTCCTCTACACCATTCAGCCACCACACAACTGAACTATTCTTGGTGTTTGTATTAAGAACCAAGTTTAAAGGATCACAAACAACTGTTCTAAACTAGTCCGATCAGAAAATTTTAATTTCCCAATCCGAAAAAGGTAAGTTGAAATAGGAAACTCATATCAGTTCTCTTTAATCACTTCAGAATGAACATCCACTATAGTCCAGTGTTGATTCAAGGAGTTCTACTCAGGATAGAAGGGAGAGAAAGCAAATGAGAAGAGTTCAGACCTGTGTAATTGCTGTCTCTCCTATTTCCATCCATGAAGAAGAGGGGAAAAAAGGACCAAGAAGGAGGAACTAGTTTTGCAACATCGTGCTCTGATACCATCTTATCATAGAGAATATCAGTAGAAGAGACAAGAGGAAAAAGAAAGATCAGTTTGAAAGAGAACTAAAAATTCTAGCTGGTGGTGCTAGCCATATTATTTATGTAGGGCGACAATTACAAAAAGGAGAAAAAGACTAAAGTGCTTCTAAAGTTCTAAGGCACATAACCAGGACTTGCATCAAAATCCATGGTTTCAGAAGAAGTCAATGGGGGATGTTGGAATTGGTTAGTTTCTGTCAGGATGCACAGGATGTTGGAAACTAGTTTGAGGAGATCTTAAGTAATTGGTTGGGTAGGTGTTTGTATCTGATTTCAGTGTAGGTAATGGGCATATAAAATAGGGTTGTGGAGTGGGATTTCTGTTGCGGATTGAGTGATGCCTTATTACATGTTTTCTATCTATAACTTTTTTTTTGACTAAATGAATTTTCTTTTCTTATTTACTATCAAAAATTCTGTAGTAAGGGAAATGCCTTAGGAGTTACAGTGTTACATTACAAGTATGCCTAGCTAATAACAAACCCATGTTTAGAATGGAAAAGGGTAACAAGTCCCTTTTTCTTTTCTTTTTCTATTTCGATCAATAACTTCATAAATCCTAAGTAGAAAGAATCAGAGGAGTACAAGGACTGTAAATACAAAGCAAAGTCGATGAGAGATAAAAACTATTATTTCTACCGACACCATGCCCTCTCTTTTACAACTGTGCCCAGAAAATATTAGTACATCAGCTAGGGAGTTGCCACTTCGCATAATCCAGCTGAGAGTTACTTCCATGTCTCTTGTTAACCATCTGGATTTTTTTTTCATTGTTGAAGATCCAAAACTTCATCCCCTCACTCTGCATCCAACTCACTACCAACTTTGAATCACCCTCAATAATCAATTTTCTAATGTGCAGTTCTTTCACCCCTTGTACACTTTCCATCATAGCCAACACTTCTGCCCTAAAAAAATCCCCCACCCCCAGCCAGTCCTGAATATAGGCCAATTATCTTGCCTTTCTCGTCTCTGAATACACCACCAATACCTGAAAGTCCTGGATTTCCTCTGATACTACCATCAAAGTTAGGTTTGATGACCACTCTTCCTGGTGGACACTAGTAACAATCAATAGTGGTCTTACTTGAACAAGAATCTGCCACTTCCCTCCAATTTCTGATGATATCATCCATTGAAACATTTGAGAATGCTTCTAAGGATTTCAAGAAAAGTGCCACTCTAATCATTATTGTTTCAGTAATGTCTTCTTTACTTCTCTCCTTCTCCAAGAATAATCTTGAATTCCTTTCTTCCCAAACTGTCCATATTGTTGCCACTCTTGTACATGTCTACATGAGTCTCCCCCTTTTCTTAGGCAATACAAAGGTAGTTGGAGCAAAGAGACTTTGAACATCCACCAGAGGATTCCACCTACACACAAACAAGCAGAAAACTATTCCCAGATAGAAATAATAAAAGGACAAGAGATTAGTAAGTGGAAGCAACTCTCACCATTTGCCTTGCACAAAATACACCAATGAGGGGATAAACATCACTTTGGCCACTTTCTGTGAAGTAGATCACAAGTATTAATCTTTCCAAGAACAACTTCCCAACTAAAAGCTCCAATCCTAGTAGGAATAGGCTTACCCCATACCTCCTTAACTAGAAAGGATGGCAAAGAGCTAGTGGAGGGATGAGATAAGGCTTTATAAAAGGAGGCACAAGAAAAAGAACCTGAAGGAGTACAAGTCCATATTTGGCTATCATGCATAGATGGGTCAAGGTAGACTTCTTCCAAGTTCAGAATCTCTTATGCCCCTACAAAAGCCCAAATCTCAATTAAAGTCATTGTTTTAGGTAGAACCGTGAAGGAACAAGGAATTTAGAAATGGGCTTATTTTTAAAACAAGTGAGTGCAAAAAGTGAGGGAAATTGCTCCTTCATAGGGGAAGACCCCACCCATATGTGTTCCTAGAACTTGATGTGGTTACCACTACAAAGATTGTATCTAATAAAAGGAAGGAAAAGAGGTAGTACCGCAGTAATGGCTTTCCAAGGAGAGGTTTGATTTGCCCTAGCCAATGCTCCAACATCTCATCTATTGTCCAAAAGCCCATGAATACTCGTTATCACTTTTGTCCAAAGTTAGTCCCTGTCTTGAGGCATTCTTCAAAACTACTTTCCTAACAGGCTAAATTTTTTCTTTGTATGTTACCTATCTCCAAGCCCCCAACATTTTTATTTCTACTGACCACTTCCCAACTAATCCTATCATCCTTTTTCCTTCCCCCGGTTCCCATAAGAAATCTCTCATCATCTTCTCAGGCTTTCTACTCACTCCTACTAGGATCTTGAACACTGGCAGGCAGTAACAGGTGGGTTGGATAAGATTGACCCAATCAAGGTAATTCTGCCACTCAAAGATTAGTATCCTTTCTTCCATCCAACAAGCCTCTTGGAGAACCTTCCTAAAACTGGATTCCAAAACCTAGCTTCTTTTGGGTTGGCTCCAAGGGGTAAACCTAAGTAAGACAGAGGCCATTAAGCAACATTACATCCTAAAGTAGCTGCACAACCTTCAATCTCCTCGTCTTCCATATTAATCCCAGCTACGCAGCTAATTTCAAAATTTATTTTTAAACTTGACATTCTCTCAAAGAGCTGCATTTAAGACTTGAGGTTCTTAACCCAATCCTGCTCATCTCTTTCACACAATAAAACCGTATCATCCACAAACTGTAAATGGGTAATCAGTACAAAATCCTTTCCCACTCTCCGCCTTAGGATTAAGCCTCTCGAATCATCCCTCAATATGAGTCTACTAAGAGCATTAGCAATACGAGTGAACAAGAAGGGAGAGAGGGGATCTCCCTGCCTGATCCCTCACCTAGCCGAGAAAAAATCCACAACTATGCCATTAACTATCACCAAATAGTGACAGGTTCTCAAACACCCCCATATCCATTTACATCACCTATCTCCAAACCTACACGGTTTCATTACCTCAATGAAAAAAGTCCAGTCAACCAGATCATCAATAAATTCCCACAAGTTTCTTTTTTAGAAACTGTTTTTATGAATGGTGTGATCCATGAGTTAAACAAACAAGACTTTGACTTTCAATAAATTCCAACAAGTTTCTTTTTTTCTTTTTCTTTTTTTTTTTTTTTGGGGGGGGGGACAAACAGAAAAGCAACTTTCAAAAAATATTTTATATGAATTCAGTCTCCAAGAAAGAGAGAAAAAAAGAAAACTAAAATATGGATCAAACAAAAAGGACCACACACTCAAATGACATAAATTATGAAGCAAAAGAGGGGAAAAAAAGAATATCTGTTAGCTGTTAGATCATAAGTTTCATCTAAAAAGTGAAAAAGAAAACAGTATTAGAACCATACCTACCTTCTGATCCTCCATTACGGCCTTTAGCTGCTCATTTTCAGTCATCAGCTTTGCAATTTCATCAGCTTTTGCCTGGAAAACATTTAATGTTTCAAATTTTCAATTACCAAAGGCTGTAGACTATAACAAGAAAATTATGTATTAAAAATACGAGCATGCAAAAAGGCCAGTAAGCAAAGACAATAATGATCAAAGATAAATCAAGACAAATACCAGTAGATTACAAATCAATAATAGTTATCCAACATATCACCATCAAGCCCTTGGAGATCAGCAAATAATACAAGCCATAATTGGAAATGATTTGTTTCCAAATATTTATTATCTCAGAAAAAAAGGATGTGAACTTTTCCTTCTTCATCTTTAGGATGGACTAGCATCTTTGTTCTTCTCCTCTTTTGTTAGTCCAGCAGCAGTTGCAGATTCAGTTTGAGAGGAAAGTCTTACTTCTGTGGTCCATTAATCCATTTGCTGTATTTGGGGCTTGTTGAAAGAATCAATAGAAGGATATTTGAGGTAATGTGTAGAACAACTTGCAGAATTTCTCAAGAAATACTTCTTTTGTCATGGATTGGGTTTAAATCTTTTAACAGTGACAAAAAATTCTGTAGATGAAGGGCCAAGTTGTTGAAAACATTTCCAATGCTCTTTAAGTTGGGTATGTATTTCTTTTTGCAGTGCAAGTAGAGAAACTACTTACCACCTACTAATCTCCTGCCCATTTGTTATATGTATTTCAGAATGGTTCTCTTCTTTTGGGTGCAGATGGGACTCATAACATGATAGTTATGCATGATGCAAATGTGAAATGAATGTAGTATGAGAAATTTGAGATACCTGAGCCTGCCTAGCAGCCCCTTGCAATGCAGCTTCCATCATTTTCATTTCCATCTTTACTTTATCCATTTCAGTCACAGAATTGACAGTGTCCAGTATGTTGGTTCCAGAGCTTAAATGTTGCTCTTTAGTGTCAGGCTTGAAATCACTAGCTTGTTGGTTCATCTCAGCTGTGCTACTTGGTGATTCACCAGCATGAGGAACAGATTCAGAAACCATATCTGAAGGCAGAGCATTTGCAGATTGATTATCAGAGGATTCCCTGAAACCATCATCCTTGGCGATACCAGTAAAACTTGATTCAGATGTCTCAGTCTCAGCTCCAACATTTTTATCATGTATGGTCTCAACATGTATAATAGGACACTCCTCATCAATGACTTCTTTTTTTCTCTCGTCTTCACCCTGGCTCTCATGCAAATCAATACTTGAGTTTGATTCACCTGGCAGATGGAGAACATTTGCTTCAGCTTGTTCTACTTCATCTACTCCTGGCTTACCTCCAACTGACTGTGATTCTTCACTAAAACCCACTTCCAAGCTTTCTTTCTGTTGAATGGAGTTTAATGAGTTCCCTGCCTCAGCATTCTCAACAAAGGTATCATCTGTCCTTGCTAACGATGGTTGTGGATCTTCATTGGATTCCCTAAGATCTGAAACTGCACTGTTCATGCTTTCTTCACTACTTGGATGTTCATTTTCCTCCTTGATTTTGAGTGGTTCATTTTCTTTGTCAGGAGAAACTTGTTTAGTGGCAGCTAGAGGGACTGAATCTTCGCTGGATTCCCTAAGGTTTGAAACTGCATTATTCATGCTTGCTTCACTACTTGGATGCTCATTTTCCTCCTTGGTTTTGAGTGGTTCATTTTCTTTGTCAGGAGAAACTTGTTTTGTGCCAGCTAGAGGAACTGAATCAGTCTCTACTCTTTCTTGTTCTTGATCTGAAGATTCAACTTTTTCCAAAGGTTCAGCAGAACTTTCTCCACCTTTGTGTCCCATAAAGGCCATGACAGGTTCAAACAGTGTTTTCCTCTCCGTTGCTGAAGGCCATAATCCTGAAGCTAAATAGTTCATACAGTAATGCAAGATAAAACATAATAAAATCAATTCAGGTACTCCCACAGTATGATAACTCAATTTGGACTTGTGGCATGCACTTCTTACTTTTGAATTCTGGGAACAAATCTAGCCTTTGGTCCTAGCTATCTAAGGGTCTTGGGATGGGTCAACTGGAGACAAACCTAGCCTTTGGCATTCTTTGCACAAAGTGTCAGCTCTCAGCCTTGAACCTGCACTCTCACGCTTGTCATCCCAAGATTTTACCATTACCAAGCAATGGCCCCTAGTTTGAGCAATAGCTATTGATACAAAAAAAATATCCCACAAATAAAATTTTAATATGCCTATCCAAGTTAATAAATTTGGAATATGAACACAAAGGCACTGGATTCTACTCTATTTGATTTTCAGTCTAGAATATGCAGTATGAAATTGCAAGTTGTGGCATATTGAAGTCCAAGTTATGCAATTAAAAATCCAACTTTTGTGGGAATACACATACATATGCATATCAAAAGGCATTTAGCATGCATATGAAAAGTACATGTTACTTACAATAAGTGAAGGGTACTAGGGAGTACGATTTTGCTGCTGAAGCTTCAGGAGCAAAACACCATGCTGAAAATACATGATTGGCAGAGGCAACATCTCCATTGCATTTTGGTCATCAACATAAATAGGTGTATTGACCCAAATGACACGAAATGCTCTGTCATCCAATCACCTTCCCTCAGCACCATGTTTTATGGCTGAATCTTCAGCAGTAGATCTATGCTCCCCACAAGGCACTGTGTGCAGTAACCTAAGATAACTGAAGATTCTTGACATTCAAAGAAACCTAATCAACTCAAATTCCAGGAGTGGCTAATGGAGTGAAACTGAGTTGGGACCTAAGCCTTAGCCAAAGGCCTAATGCGGTTTGTCCCAGGTTTCTATAAAGAGTTCTTTGTCTGCACATACGTGTCATATCATTACACAAAATTCACACTAAAGAATATTATGAAAATTGTGAGATCTATTAACGTTTTCCAAAATGCAGACAGAAAATCGTACCTTCGCTCGAGTCAGATTTCTCCTCCAACCCAAGAGCGCTATCAAAATTCTTCTCTATATTCTTCACGCTCTCACTAAGCTTTGTCACTGCCCCGGCTAGATCCGGGAAGCCCCCCAGAGAGACCCTCCCCAACCACGCCATTCTTTAAGGAATAACTGAATTCACTGAATCCAACTCCAAATTTCTCAGATCAAAACCATTAAAACCTGTAAACAACATAACAAATGAAGTTAAGATCGATGACGTAAAGATCCCAGCTAACCAAAGGCCAAAACCTAAACATTTTTTTCTCGCAAATGTCAGAGCTCGGTGTGCACACAGTAAAGATCAAAAATCAAGGCCATCGACGAAAACAAAATGAATTAAAGAATCTGTTGTCCATCAAATTCCAATATTTATCTCTCCTTTATTCTTGTTTTTTACGACAACATGATCGAGTAAAACGCAAAACTGGCAAAATCCAGAATCTAGAGCAAGAAGGAAAGAAATATAAACTAAAAAACATAATAACTGGGAGAGTACGTAGTATAATTTGTCATGTAATCCATACAATGGAGCCAAAGAAAAGTATATACCTTCACACAGATCGGATCGACGATGTCGAAGCTGGAACCCGGCCAAAACGCGCGAAATTGTGTTTACTACCAAACGGAATGTGTTCTCTGGATATGTGACATGGATAATCTGACAATTTAGGGTTTGAAATGCAGATGTATGGATGACTTCGCCAATCCCCCGTCGGTTAGTTGAAGGAGATTGGCTTTCAAGGAGCTTGAAACGGTAAGGTATTTTATGTTAAGTACTCAAAAACTTACAGAACGTAGAGAAGGATAGTCGGACAACTCGGGATCGACTCGCAAGTCGCACCATCCCTGGAATTTGTCTTTTTTTTGGGTCCCCCTTGTACTATAGGGTTAGTGATAAAGTCCCTCCTGTGCTTTTTTTTTGCGACAAAGACCCCCTGAACTTTAGCCATTAGACAAGGACCCCCTTCCGTTTAACATTCTGTAAGTTAATTTCGAAAAAAATTTTATCCGGCTGTTTAAAGTTAAATGTCCAAACTACCCTTTTATACTGTTCATTGTCTTCTCGATTGAAACCGTTCTCACACCGTCCCAAACCCGACCATCGCCAGCCAATAGTGGCAAGGGCAAGACATTTCCCGCCATTTTGACTGATGCTTGGGAGTTGGGAGAAGATTAGACAATATGAGAGTGCTCTTTAGTTGGGACAAGAACTCTCATCGCATGGACCTTTACCATCCGATGTGATGGTTCCGAGAACTCCGCCAAGTCCAATGGATCCGGCATTCAACGATAACCAGCCCATGACTCCCAGAGAAACAGAGTGCTTTCTTTGGTAAAGGTCCAAGGTCGGTTTCTCAGGCGCTGTCAGTGTGGAGCAAAAGTCGAAAGCGAACCAACCGAGACCAACTGTGGCATGCAGTTCAGTCAGCACTTCCGGTTCTCCGATCGCCAGCATGACAAAAGACATGCCCAAAGAACATAACAGTCTTTGGCGGCCCCATTCCGGCAAAGACCTGTGCGACCCATCCGGTGTTCTGGGAGTGAATTGAGAGGCCCTGATATGGATGCATTGGTGGTGGGCCATGACTGGGTCTGGGTGTCCTGATGGGTGGGAAGAGGAAGCCTGCGTATGCGTTGTTTCTTCCCAAAGTGATACAGAGATTTGGCTCTCAACACATCATTCACTGAGCTTCACCTTATGGGAACCATTCCCTTAGGACATGCACATCATTCCTTCACTGCCATTAATCTTGTTTCTCATCCCTTCTTCCTTGTTCACTCTCATTCTTGGCATTTATGGTGGTGCTCTCTGTTACAGACATACGAGCAAACTCATGAGAGAGAGAGAGATAGATAGAGCTAGCTTTATTTCTGCGTATGTACCTGGATCTTGTGATTTTTCAGAAGAGGATGGTCTAAAGATGGCTGTTTATGTCTGTGAACATAGTCAGCAATGATATCTCCATCTGGGATCTGAACAAATTAATGAGAAAATGTTGGAATTTCAAAATAAGGTCTACGCAGGAGTCGATAAATCAAAATGAAGGATACCAAAGAACATGAGAGCAATGGAACAGTGATGATGAGAAAATTAACCTCTATGGTTTTAATAGCGGGCTTGTTGATCTCCAAGTGCATCTGAAATCTTGTGAGTCTCAAGCTTGATACATGTCTAAAATTTGTGTAGTTCAAAGCCAAAACGTCGACTGTAGATCTTTGGAAGAAAACAAGGAGGAAGAGCCCGCTCTTCCTTCTGGTTTTGTGTAGTTAATGACGGGCTCGCCTCTTCATTCTGGTTTCATTATCCATTTCATTCAGTGCCACCAAGAAACTGAGAATCAGAGCCCTCTCTTCCTTCTGGTTTTGTGTAGTTAATGGCGGGCTCGCCTCTTCATTATGGTTTCGTTATCCATTTCATTCAGTGCCACCAAGAAACTGAGAATCAAAGCCCTAGCTCTTCCTTCTGGTTTTGTGTAGTTAATGGCGGGCTCGCCTCTTCCTTCTGGTTTTGTTATCCATTTCATTCAGTGCCACCAAGAAAATGAGAAGCCTATGTCGCCATTACTGTTAAAACAAATAGCACAAACAAATCAGAGCCCTAGCTCTTAAATTCTTTATGAAATATCTATTTGGTACTTTCTTCAAGATATCCATTTCAGAGGTTAAATAGGTTTTAAGGCTCCGTTTGGTTCGTGGGATTGGAATGAGAAAAAAGGGAATATTCCAAAAATATTTTCTTTTCTCTTATTTGGTTTGAGAGAAAAAAGAGGGATGGAATGGAAAATACGTGGAATGGCAGATCCCAAAATCATGGAATCGGGGGCGCACCAAAACAGTGCGACCCCGGTGGAAAAACTATGAAATAATTGTTACCACTTACCATCACAATGAACAGAGGAGGGAATGCCAATAAAAGCGAACCAGTGACAACGAAGAGGAAGGAAAGAAACAGCGCGACTCCTGGGTTCATCTTCATCTTCTCTCTGTCCCCTGTCTCCCTTTCTCAGTGCGACTCCGTCTTCCTCTTCTTTCTTCTTCCTCGTCTTCTCTCCCTCAGTATTCTCTCTTCTTCCTCTTCAAAATTCGCCCCTTTCAGAATCCGCAAATCTGTCGAGATGGAGCTTCAATGCAACCTATCAGAGAAATCGAGTAAGAAGATTTGTAACCAATTTCCTTGATCTCTCAGACTCGAACAAGGAAACCCTTCTCATCAATTTGTCGCCTTTGTTCATAAAGTTTCCAACGAAGCTCCTGGAAAGAGTCACCTCTATTCGTGAAGTTCCCGTGCTTCTGTTCATGAAGTTCCTGAAGATGTGCCTTTGTTCATTTGTAAAGTTCTTGAGGATGGATGAACGAAAGAGGACGGTGAACAGTACTTTCCCATCCCATCTTTTTTCATCCCACCCAAATATTTTCACAAACCAAATGGGCCTCAGGGAAAAAGGGCAATAAAAAGAAAATAGAAAAGGTTTAGTAGGGTATTTTGGTAATTTAACGTTTTTCGTCTTATGACTAAACGGTAAAGAGGATCTTTGTCTAATGGCTAAAGTTCAGGGGGGTCTTTGTCGTAACAAAAAGTACAGGGGGACTTTGTTACTGACCCCATAGTACAAGAGGGTCTTTGTAATTTACCCTTTTTTTACGCCTAAAAAAATGGATAATGGATTTTTTAGGGGTTCAAATCAGGCTAGATTAAGCTGGGTTGGGTCAAACGCTCATCAACCCGAGTTGCTGAGCCCCAACCCCAATACTGACCCGACCTGATCAAATTAGGTTGAGACCTGGTTGGGCTCCGGTTGACTTTATTTCTTCCTTTATTTTGTTAAAATATTTCTAATTCACATCATTTTACTATATTAACTAGCTTTTACTAATGAATTTTTCTTTCTTGGCTTTACCACTGAAGTTATGGTGCCTCATGACTCATGAGTACTTTACATTACATTAACCTTTGCCATTTAACTTCAAACAAATTTATTAAATCATAACAATATACAAACATACACACACATGTACCTATAATCTATATATTATAAAAAAAGGGTATTTGCCTTGGTTCTAATGCAAGTCATAAAAGTTAAATCTAAATATCATATATCCTATATGTGTATGATTAATACTAGCTTATACTCACATAGCACATAGTACATGATCTTACACTTGGTATTTATGTATACAAATATAAAGAATATGAAAACATGTCTATTGAATTGGGTTGGGTTGTCAAAGGCCTCAAATTTAACCCGACCCAAAGTTCATATTTTGTTAATCCAACACAAGCCTTTTTTTATTCATGTTAGGTTATGGTTTGTCTCAATTAACCAAATCCAAGTTGCACCTCTAATTGTGATGTTAGTATCGTGTTTATTGGCATTTATATAGCCCGTTTATATAGATAATATTGTGTGGACACCTACCATTGTGACTTGGAGGGTCAGGCTTATTTGGTAAGTTCTCAAGCTGGTTGCAGTGACACTTGGGCTCTAATCTTGATGTGTTTGGTAACGTGGGTGATGAGGGAAGATTTAACCCTCCACTGACATCATAACACGTGGCATATCAGAACAGCTAAATGACACCCCGACACCACATAGGTGATGACTTTCCTTAGCCAAAATGATGTAGTCCTAGTTGGCGACCTACCTCTTGAGACTTACTGGAGACCTAAAGACCTACTTCCAGAGACCTGGAGACCTACCTCCAGATACCTACTAGAGACCTGGCAACCTACCTCCAGAGGCCTATTGGAGACCTAGTGACCTGCCTCCGCCGACCTAATAGAAACCTACCCAGTGACCTTGTACACAACTCGAGCAACTAGGTAGAGCGGTTAGCAGCACCTCACTAGGGCCAACCTAAAGTACATCGGCTTGGCCGACCTAAAGGACATTTCAACAAGGAGCGATCTACCTTAGGGATCGGCCAATCTAAGGAATGTACTATCAATGACCTACAAGGCATGCTCGCTGACTTGTCACATAGATATGTTGCGGCCTACCCACATCATGTGCATCAGAACTAATCGGACGGACCTTAGCCCTCTGTGCATATTATATAACCGACGTCATTACTCTCTTGACTTAACAGAAACAGCTCTGCGAGAGCCTGTGACCCATTACAAGAGATCTTTGATCACCCACATCTATATAAAGGTCTCATTTTCACCCGAAGAGGTACGCGCGATTAAGCTCTCAAATACTTTTATCTCCTAAAGAACTCTCAAACAACTCTCTAACTTAAGCATCAGAGTGCCTGCCCCGGGTAAAAACAACTTAGGCATTCTAATTCTACTTTCCTGCAGAACCAAACAGCTCGGCCTAGCACAACTCGGCCCCTAACAAGGCAAGCATCGGAATTAACGTCCGAGTCATCAGACACATGAGAGTAGCCAAATTGCACCACATTGGTGGGCATTTTTTTGGGCCTGATTTTCTTTTAAAAAAAAAGCCCACACCCATGATGGTGCATGTTAATCTATTTGGTACTATTTTTATCTCTACTAGGTAGCCAATGAAGCAATGTTTTTCACCTTTTTTTGTTGTTTGGTAAAGTGATCTTCATCACCATTTTTCTTGTATATGCAATCTGTTTGGTACAAATCAGTGCCACGTCAGAGTGCCATTGTGAGCAACGACTCATCAAGCAAGCGTCAAATTCAATGTTTCATGCATCGAGAAGATTGCAATTTACGAGACATAGGCATTTTTTACCATTAAAAAAAAGCCTGAACCAAACAACATGGTGAACGACAAAAAGCGGAAA